AAAAATAAATAAATACGCCATATTGATCTAGATACGAAATAATCTTGTCCACAAACAATGCCATTATACTTATGAAAATAAACAACTGATTTGAAGCTTCCATTCGTTCGATATTTGAAAATTGAAAAAATAAAACGCTCATAGACAGGACGGCTGCGTTCGAATTTCGATCGAAACTGGGGCAGATGTTAGGGTTGTCAATATTAAATTTTTACTATCGATTGGATTTTGTAATCCTTTTTGATAATATTGAATATTTCTAAGTTAGTTCAGCATTATCTTAGTACACTGGATTTGAATTCCTTAAGGATTTCGTAAATTAAAGAACATTGTCTAAAATAAAAATAAGTTACTTGGACACTGTAACTAAGTACCTCTGAAAACAAGGATTTTAATTCAAGAATTAATATGTAATCCAAAAAGCGAAGAATATCTAATCGCCAACCAATTACGTTACCGAACAATCAAAGTTAATGCCAAATGCACTTCGTTACCTTCAACTTTGAAGAATAAATTTAATTAATTAAAACGTTCAAATACCAACCCTACATAATTCCATTACAGTCAGCCCTGACCATAGACAGCGTATCACAAAAAAGCGCGCGTAAAATATTTTGATGTTTGACAACTGTCATGGAGGATTTGATCGATATCTATTTTATTTATTTAAATACTTATACGCTACGATAGAACGAATAAAATTCATTTGGTTGTAACATATATTTTTTTCTTTTAATTCAATTCTAGTTTTACAGTTCTTTAGACGTATTTAATTGCGGTTTAAAAGTAATACTTTAATGGTTTCTGTCAACATTTATTTAGTAGGAAATTAAGATTAATTGCACAATTTGGATGTAGTTTTGTGGTAGTTACGTACATTTTAACTTGATATCAGAAAAGGGTGAATTAAAATGAAAATCCCTTTTTATGGTGACCGGAGATCGCCTCTCGATCCCCGACGCCCGTAGTGTCGCCTACTGCAGCGGCTGGGGCGTGAGGGGGAGGATAGCTTCCTCATGATTTGCAAGCATAACTGCTTTACAGACTCCAACCTCGCTTCGCACCATGGCACGTATGCTCCACCTTGTCCTCAAGTTGGTCCTCACAATGACGACACCCAGGCGTTTCCACCCGCCGGATACGAAACAGGAACCCTCCGAAGCTTTCCAATCTGGGTGGGGCGAGAGGGAGTGTCAATCTGTGACTGACTAAAAACCATCCCGTCTCCTGCTCCGTATCAGGGCCTGTACCATATTGCGCTTACACCCGCAACCCAGGGTGCTCGCACAAGCTGATTCCACTTTTACCAAACAAAATGCCATTATGACGGGTAATAGCTGTGTACAATTTTTGGAACATGTAACACCTATTTGCTTACTTATGTAAGAATGTGCCACAATAAAGAATTTTGTATTTAAAAAAAACAATTTATCCTATTGAAGTCTTGTTTAAAATTGGTCTCTTCTAATAAAAATTAAGAATTGGTTAGTTTCCTAGGTCAAAAATAAATAAGTATATAATTTCGACGTTTCAATACAATAAAAATCCCGGAGGCCCAATCCTTCCCCTTCCCGGACCCTTCCCCAATCCCTAAATCTCCAAATCCCTAATCCCTAAAAGGTCGGCAACGCACGTCGTCGTAACTCCTCCGTTGCGGGTGTCCATGGGCGGCGTTGATTGCTTACCATCAGGTAATCCGTCTGCTCGTTTGCCGACTTATTAAATTAAAAAAAAAAATATTGAAAAATAACTATACATTTATTCAGCGTGCGATCGATACACTAAGTTTTAGTATTTTGTAGATAAATATTAAGAAATAAGTAGGCTATTTGACGCAAAAATATGACGACGTAACTCAGTTTTTCATACTCATAGAAAAGTATCGTTTTTGACATTTGGATAAAAGTATTGAGTTTCACTAGTTGGAAACTACCGTTTTCCTCCAAACAATTTCTGGTCCCACACAAAATAGTTAGCCATTTTCACCTCACTTGGGTAAAAAAATTACCTTATTATAAGGGGTGAATCATCAACTGTCTTTTTTGACCCAGGGTGAAGCAAAAGAGATTGTCAGCTATTCTTACTGACTAAAAACCACCCGTTCATTCTCCTGCGGCAGGTTGAGGCCACAGTACCTTATTACGGTTGATCCGCAACCCTAGTACTATAAACCGCTGATGTTCGGTTCATTCTTAATTCAAATCAAATCAAATCAAATTATTATTTATTTGTCAAACATAGGTGAGTTGAGTGCATACAATTCGCAATACAGAACGCTATAGATACGGTTATCTATTGTACATTCTTCTACCACCATACTAAGTGATACCTAATTACCTAGACTTCGTGATTCCACTAACAATTTCGGAGCACGAGAAAAAAAACTGTTTTAAACTAAGTAGATACGTATTAGATTTCACTTCAATCGCAAACTAACGGCCTGCCCCTTCTTCGCTCTGTTATCCAACTATTTTCGCCGTTACTTTTTCCTTGAATTTTGTTTTTTTTTTATAAGTATTGTTTTATTGGATAATTGTTTTCTACTGACTAAACAAACACAACAAAAAAGAATTGGTAAAATTAGTCCAGACGTTATTGAATTATGCGCTTACCAATACATTTTACAATTTATTTTATAGAAATAGATAATAACAACACCATACTTTCTTCTTCTTGAATCTCTCTTATCATATATAATCTAAGTTATTATTCACAAAAAACGATTGAGTTTAAAACATAGCTTTCTTTGGAAATGTCTTTTTCCTCATTAAAAACAATCTCACCTGGCACCCTAACTAGTAAAAGATAGCTTAGCATGTGCTAAGCTATCTACTTAAATATGACGATGCAAAGTGGTAACAAAGTGTCGTGGTGGCCGGAGGTTAAGGAGCCGCTTCTCATGCATGAGGGTGTGGGTTCGAAACCTGGCAAGTACCAATGTGACTTTTTCCGAGTTATATGTACTTTCTATGATTATTTAGACACCACCGACATTCGTTGAAGGTAAACATCGTGAGGAAACCTGGGTCTTATAATTTCTAATTATAAGTTTGAAATCGCCAACCCACATTGAGCAAGCGTGGTGATTAATGCTTTAACCTTCTCCGTATGAGAAGATGGCTATGCTCAACAGTGGGCACTTATAGGCTGATGATGAAATATGACGATGCATAAAAAAATAAACAAAAGCTTTTTTCCTAATCCTTGATGACGTAAAATAGTTACGTAGGTAAGCGGCAGCTGATACCCGTAACGCTAGCGTGAATATAACAATATATGGATGTACCGGAGGACGTACCGCCGATCGATAGTAGACGAAGCCACTGGCGAAGCCCTAACAATGCGACATCGACACCGTTGTCGATAAGCACAACACTGGCCGACGGTTTTTTAACGTTTTATAACTATACAGACTTACTAAACCACGTATAGTATAGTTATATGGTTTTAATTCGAAATAAAATTACGTAAAGCAAACAAAAAAGGATATACTACAAGAAAATAACATTCCTACTATATACAATATACATAGTAAGTACTTATATGAAGGTACTTTGTTATAGAACAGACCGGCAAACGAGCAGACGGATTACCTGATGGTAAGCAATCAGCGCCGCCCATAGACACCCGTAACACCAAAGGAGTAACGAGTGCGTTGCCGTTGATTGGGAAGAGATGGGGAATGGGGGCCTCCGGTAACCTCACTCACACGGCGAAATACAACGCTGTGGTTGTTTCACGCCGATTTTCTGTGTTGCCGTGGTATCACTCCGGCCAAACCGACCCATTAGTTTTTTTTGTGTGGAGAAAATCGTCGAAATGACTTCTGCCATCGAGCTAGTGGCGAGAGGGAGTGTCAGATTCTGAGATTCTTACTGACTAAAAACTCCCTCATTCCTTCTCCTGGTCTAGGCCGAGGTTGCGGGACCTTATTGCGCTTACCCCGCAATCGTTCATATAACTGTAAATAAACTTGCTTGCGATCGCTCAGCATCAGACAACGCGTCCAGAAGTTTGCCCTCCAAAAAAAGTAGTGACTAGAGTAAAGAAGATTGATTCCACAATACTAAGGCAATAGATTCCTATTCCATTAAAAGAGATGTGTCGTATAGACAAAAATAAAACGAGACTGTCTCTATGGTCGTTGGGTGAGAAGCTAGTTACTATTGTCCAAGAATTTTTATAATATAACGAGACTTAGCTCAACCAAGATCCTCGCATCTATCCATCCATTGCTAGGCTACACAGTGGATGTCATCACTGTCCTGTTACAGAACCCGAATTCACCAACGAACATCGGTTTTCAAACATGTAATGCCCGCCTCCGCCTGGCCCCGCGCGCTGCCACTAAACTTCAGCTTGAAAAACCTATGGACTATATTCACAATTTTATGTTGTTAAATTTTGTTAAATTTTGTATTTCTCAGTAAAAGCATGAAGTCTAAAATCGTTCCCGAGGCCAGAGTTACAAGTGCAGTGCCAACCTTTTAAAAGGAATAGGTTCGCTTTAGGTACGTTAAAATTCCGGAAATAAATTAGTAAAAAATAATTTTCATTGTTTGTAGATTATTGTTTTTAAAGATTTAGGTAGGTGCTTATTAAATAAAATCTGAAAATGACCACAAAGTATTTTTCATTTATGTACTTGACTACGTAGAATGCTGAATCCAAATGAATTTTCTTTCTTATCTTTTTTCTAAAAGTAGTCTTCGATCTTATGAAAACCTTTACTTAAAGCACCAGTAGCGACACCTTCCCTCAATTTGTAAGAACTTATGAAATACCTATACCTATACTAAAGTAGATGTCGCTAAATGACAGTAAAAGATTAGATTTTTTTTTCTTATGTCAGCTTTTGATTTATTTAAATAAATTACGAGAAACGCAACATAATATTTCAAATAGCTTGTTATTTTGTTCTTTGTTGTTAAAATAAATCTACCATTTAGAGTATTTTCGCGTGACACTTTATTAAATTATTTTGTAGCAAACTTGGTTTTAGACTGGCAACACTCTAACAAAATCAAACATGGCGCGCGTACACACGGTTCCGCAAATTTTACATTTTTTCCTTTATTTCTCATTTATTTTATGTTGTTTTACTGGTTTTGTGAGTGCCAACCGCGAGTTAAATGAAGACAACTGGAGGGAAATCCTTGAGGGAGAATGGATGGTCGAATTGTAAGTAGTTTTTTTTCTCTAGCCGGTTTCGGCCAATTTACGGGAACGTGTCAAATTTTTTCCTTGATTATTATAGGTGTGAACTACTTAAATTCCTATTGGAAGGGCGTCTGAAAATTACATGAACAGTTTAATTGTCCATTTAAAATCATTTCCTACGTCAAAATCATTATAATTGTAGTGTAAATTGCATGAGACTAACAACCCACTCGTCGGGTTCAATAACCACTACAAGGTCGCTAAGGTCCATGTAAGAACCGTTTTGAAAACTGTGACTGTGACGCATTGTCTATTGTTGGTTAATGCCTGTGACTTCCCGTACGTCCCGTGTGAAATTCAGCATCCATTTTGTCCAACACAGAAAAAGACCTATAGATTTTTTTGAATGCCTTTTATCTTCTAGTTAATTGTAACCTACCTACTTTGTAAATAAACTTTATGCGTGTTATAATCCTTAGATAACCTTGTTTTATTATCTTTATAATCTTGTATTTTTTTTTGTACATGAACTGTTCTTTGCATATTTTCATAATTTTAATAATAGCTTTTACCAATAAGAATTCAACAAGTTGTTCAAATAATTGAAAGAATGAATGAATGAGATCCTTCAATTATTTAAGATGTATAATAAATTAATTTATAATACATATAGAAGTATGAATGAGTATTCTATTGTAAACTAATCAAATGATAAAAGTAATAAACTTCTAGGGATATTATGATATCACAAATCAATGACTAATAATAGTTGTTATAATCACTGTAATATACTACCTACAGATTTATATGTAAGAACTGACTTAACCATAATCAGAATAAAAGCAATGCATATGTTATTTAAAAGTAAAATCTTTTTTTACAAATTTTCTTCATAATTCATTCAGTAGTTTTAGAGTAATAGAGTTACAAACATACTTTTGTATTTAGTCATGATGGAACAAAATTGTGTTGTTTACATTTGACTTAGGTAATTCATCAATTACCAAGCGAACACGGGCTTTCACTCCTATTGTGTCTCTTTCTCATTCGGCTGTAAGGATAATGTCTTATATGAAATGTAGATTACCTAGATTTGTGAAATGCCTCACCACTAATACACATTCTAATGTGATTCTGTTATGTATGACAATAAGAATCTTATTCTAGTGTACCTTGCTAACAAGCTAGTCTTTGATTTGAAAAAACCTGGTTCTGTGAACAATCTAGTGGTTGTACGGTAACCTCCGAAGCTTTAATAACACCTTAGATGATAACATTAAATGAAAATTATTCAACATAGTCAAAAACATGGAAACTTCAATACACTGTTAATTATCAATTGTCTTTGGAAGTTACAAAAATTTGTTTAATAGGTTAGGTAATTCATATTGATTGATTAGATGAATTGATCTACAAAAAGGTTCTATAACCTTTTGTCTATGGGTATATGAGACAATAGAAAACGCATTGTATCTCACGTAATTCTGCACTCCAGAATATCAAAGTTTAAATTGTACCTATGAACACTGCTACAAATAACAATAAACTAACAGCTAACAATATTGTTAGCATATTTGCACCCAAAATACACCTTGAAAGTTGCTATCTATTAGTATAGTTAATAGACAATTTTTGGCCCAATGAGTCACTATATCTGAAACCAGTTTGTATAGGTGTTGCATCACTATATGTCTTACATAAATGTTAATTATAATGCTGTTAGTCATGCTATCATTGGCTATTCATGTTGTGTTGATGTAGGTTTGAATTGATTTAAATAATTAATGTTTTTAATGCTAAAATGCATCCTGCTATCGAACCAGAGTTGTAGATTCTTAAGTAACATGTACCTATATTCTGGTTTGGGCAAGACCATAGCATCCTACCTGCTTCTATTATCGCTTCTGTGTGGTCAGAAATTCATATAGTGAACTTTAAGGCCTTGTAAATTACATTGACAACAGTATGATATTAATCTCTTTACTTACCTTAATTTTTTTCTTGCAATGAACTGCTACCAGCTTTTTGCATTATTGCTTAGTTTGTTTTTCATAATTACATAGTTACTCTATATTGTACAAAAACTATGTGTGCTTACAACATTAAGTTATGGCTAGCAGCTAACCAGTATCATTTTCTTATAACCCAGTCAGTAAACTTATTTTAAATTAAATTAACTACTCTAGACCACTACATCTCATAAATAGCTAGTTAATCTTTTCACTAAGTCATCTAGCCGATTGAGATATGATGAGCCATGATATAGCCATGGCTGTAAGCGTAATAATATACCACGGCCTAGCTTTAAGCAGGAGAAGGAACAGAGCGGTTTTCAGTCAAGAAGAGTCTGAATCTCCTTCTTGCCATGGCTATATTTCTGACCTTGTTTGGGTCTCAGACATACTCTTCTGTATCAATGCCAATACTGTACCTTACATTGTTACCTACATTTATTCAAGTTTCTTAGAAATGACTACAGAACATTACTCGTTGTAAATAGTGTATGCTTATGAGTTAGGGACAGCTAAAGTTTATGTTATACAACGATGTGTCACAGAATTAGTCAGAGGTATTTCTCATTTTTAACAGACTTCAAAAAATGAGAAGGTTCTCAATTCGATGCATATTTTTTTTTTCAATTAGCTTTGCTTAACGTTATTAGAATTTTAAATAGATACTTAAATATTTCAGCACTTACTAGATATTGGATAATAATAATAATGATTAAAGTTGTCTATACGTACGCCATCCAAATGACCGGGACTCTGTGCTCCCGTGATCGGTAAAGACATACATAATATTCCTTCAATATTAATTGGTCACGACATTCTTACTTCTACTTTGGATTGCTTATAGTCGAGTATATCAAGATCATCATTTCTGAAGCCAAGGCTGACTTTTATATGTATATAAAATCGATCACATATTTTCCTCCATTTGTGAGCAGTCGCAATCTAGTTTCTAGTTATTATTTAATAGATACTTATCGATTTATGTTCCGTTTCACATATAAATGGGACATAAAAAGTAATCGCAAGTCGCACCATAAACCATAATCGAATATTCTTTCTAGAAGTTCTGGTTCTGATAGGACATTAAATTAAAACAAAGTATTTTACTTGTAAAGGATAAATAACACCCTTGTCTCGTTAGACGGAGTCTATGCAATGGGCGAGTTTGCAACTAGTCAAATTCAATACTTTTATCCAAACGTCAAAAACGATACTTTTCTAGGCTGAAAAGCGGTAGAATTGGCCTAAACTTTCAAAATAGGTATAGCAAAGACATTCATAACCCAAGCTATTATCATTGGCATTTATTACTAGGTATTGAAATATCGAATTACTGTGAACAGGTAAAAGTATGCGCGTTGGCAAAACACGACACGTGGTAGACATCACATCCTTTTGTTGACATAACATGAACATAACGGTTCTTTTTCTCAAAATCGTCATAGGTATAAAGATGTATTGCAAACACTGTTTGTTAATGTTATTTGTTAGTATAGCTTTAGCTAGCATTCCTTGTCTATACTTCTGTAGTAATAATATTATAAAGAGGTAAAATTTGTAAGTTTGTATGTAGGGAGGGGGTAATCTTTGGAACCGCTGGTCGGATTGCAAAAAATTCTTTGACTGATAGATAGCTTCAATTTTCCTGAGTGCTATAGGCTAAAACATCACACTACGATAAATGGAGCCAAGCAGCGGGTGAAACCGCGTGAGAGTAGCTATTTCAATATATGCTTTTAACATATATCTGTGTTATATGTCGGCAAACGAGCAGACGGATTACTCGATGGTAAGCAATCGGCGCCGCCCATATACACCCAACAACACACAAGGAGTTACAAGTGCGTTGCCAACCTTTTGGGGATAAGGGTTACAGATATTTAAGAATTAGGAAGGGATGGAGAGATTGGAAGAGATTTGGCTTCCGGTAACCTTACTCACAAGGCTGTGGTTGTTTCTGGTATTCTGTGAGGCCGTGGTATCACTCCGGTCGAGCCGACCTATTCGTGCCGAAGCTTGGCTTTCCCACACTTAAAAATAAAAGAACCAAAATTATGAGTGGGTTTCTTGGTATAATTTTCTATTATACCTACCTACTTTGAGTGCACTAAAGGTACTATTTATTCATACAAGCTCTATAGATATTTAAGTATTGATCGAAGTTATATTGGGTCGGCCCCGACATTAGTCGTGGTAATGTCGTTATGACCTTTACAACTACAAGGTTAATAGTGGATGCTTCAGATAAAATCTATGAATTAGGGAGGTATTTATTAAGAATAACATACTGACAAAATTCATTGATTTCTTTTTCGTAAGTTAAACTGAGCTTACAACCTTACACACTGTTTTCTCGAAATTTTTCGAGGATTGATTGCGTAAATAATCACAATGGACAATTATGAAACAACCAATTGTTGATATATGAAACTCTTCTATAATATAAAAATGAATCGCGAAATGTGTAAAGCGCATAACTCAAAAACGGCTGGTCCAATTTTGCCAAATCCTTTTGTTTTTTATTTATTATTGTCAGAAGAAGGTTTTTATGAAAGAAAATATTAGAAAAGTAGAAGGGGAAATTGGGATAAAGGGACCCTTTCGTTGTTAGCGAGATAGTTGGACCAGCGTTAAGCGGGGGTGGGCCGCTAGTTTTATATAATACTTTGTGAAGTCTCTTTTTGATAGTTGACCCCAATCTCCTATGCGACTCTAGCCACGCTCTGCTACCACTTGTAAAGTCATATTAAAATTGCTTTGTGCCAACACGACTTCTTTATTTTTAGTATATTTCCATTTTAAAACTATTCTAGTTATGATCAACACACGTACTTTAAAGCCAATTTATTGCAGAAATCGTTTCATTGACATACATATATGGCGCCGTATCTTTTTTAAAGCTACCAACTTTTGCTTATTCATTAAAAAATAAATTAATAATCGCTGGCTCATACTTAATTGCTTCCCGATTGCACTGCGGTGAAGAACTAGTCTTATAAGTATGTATAGATGGACATCTTCCTATTCCTGGCTGAGTTCCAACTATTTATATTGTTTCATTTGATTGTATGTCAGTAACCGATCGCTATGCTAATACTATGTAGCCTTTTTAACCCACTAGAATGAAAATAACTTTGTTAGTTGGTCTTATTGCTAGAGTAAATTATGTATTATTGTCCATTTTAAACTTTCTACGCGCGTAACTCCCAAATGTACCGAATTGGGTGATTCTTTTTGTGTCGGGTCCGGGTTGGTTGTTATTTTTGTAACAGAAAAACTTGACAAATTTAATTGTTAAAAAACGATTCGTAAAAGAAACAGTCTTTGGAACAATTAACTTGCGTACGTAAGTACGCAAACCATCGAGTTACGATACGAGAACTGAAATAATTTCCGTGGAATACAAATACCTATAATTTCTTCCGTACTAACTATGTGTGAGCCAAGCTTCGTCACGAATGGGTCGGCTTGACCGGAGTGACACCACGGCCTCACATAAACCCTTCAAACAACCACAGCGTTGTTTTCGCCATGTGGCCCGATCCTACCCCTCCCTATTTCTCCCTAATCTCTAAATTTCCGCAACCCTAATCCCTAAAAGGCCAGTCACGCACTCGTAACTCCTCTGGTGTTGCGGGTGTTGGATGGCTTACCATCTTGTAATTGTATCAACTAAATAAAGTACTCCAAGTCAGCCATTCGTCAACGTAGCCACTAAATTTACCTTACAGTCAATTTAATTATCTCTCTGTCAATCTTCCAGCTACGCGCCATGGTGTCCCGCCTGCAACGCTCTCGCCCCCGCGTGGCGCGAGCTGTCCACCCGCGCGACCCGCAAGGCCTTGGGCGTCAGGACAGCTGCTGTCGACGTCACCAAGTCTCCTGGACTGAGCGGTAGATTCGTCGTCACCGCCCTACCAACTATCTTCCAGTAAGTTGATTTCATAAATTTCAATTTTTGTCTATTTTTCTTAAGTTATTTGGGGTTTTAGGGCAACGTGTGGCGGGTTCGATTCCCGCACGGAACAACTTTATGAAATCAAAAATTGTTTTACCGGGTGTGGGTGTCATGTGTATGTGGAATCGTGGGTAGCCGCACCCACGACATAAGAGAAAATGCAAGTGTAGGGCAACTTGTTTAAAAAAAAATTAAAAGGATAACACTTTCCAATTCCTTTGGCACAATAATAATCCTCAAAAACCTCTTCCAGTGTAATCGACGGTGAGTTCCGTCAGTACAAAGGACCTCGTGACGTGGAGTCAATGCTGGGCTACGTGGAGGACCAGCGCTGGAAACAGACCGACCCTGTACCCTCGTGGAAGGCACCACACTCTATACAGATGACACTGGTCGCTGAATTCTTTAAACTCAGTCAAGCACTCAGGGTGAGTTAAATTCATTGATCATTAGCCTTTTGAGCAGAGATGAATATTTATTATTTAGAATAGTTTATTACCAAAAGCATACATATTATGGGTTGAATCGGGTAGTTTCCTAGGTCAAAAATAAATTTTATTGACTTTTCAATACAATGGAACCATTAAATTATGTTAATACCTACTCAATCATTGAAGATATAATGTACATAGTTTTAGATCGTTGCTAGTTTTTTATGTCCCAATGCCGCCACATCTCGCTTTCACACCTCCCGGTCTTTCGACCGTGTCCACCAGTCTCGACAATAGGATTCCCTGTGTTGTGAGAACCAGGCTCTTTCTTTTCACTTCTTATTTCTGTTATTATTACATAACAATTTGTTACATTTAGTGCTTTAGAGTAATCTTAAAAAAGTGTGGGAGAGCCTTGCTTGGGCACGAAATGTTCGGCTCGACCGGAGTGATACCACGGCCTCACAAAAAACCGACGTGAAACAACCACAGCGTTGTGTTTCACCGTGTTAGTTAGGTTATTGGATGCACAAAATTCTTAATATATAGATTGATTCATATTCAATGTTTTTATTCCTTAATTCCAGAGTGTACACAATATGCTGATGGAGACGTACGGCCTACCAACATGGGGCTCCTACTTGATCTTCGCGCTGGCCACCATATTCATTGGCGCTCTGCTTGGACTGGTCAGTATAATAATTTTTCTTTAATCATTTATTCATTAAAGTATCTTTTAGCACTTGTGGCAAGCAAGGTAAGGCAAATGCATCAAGGACTCCCCGTAACAACAGAGAGGTTACAAGGGGGGCCTTGTAACTTCTCTGGTCTTATGGGAGTCCTTGGTGCATTTGCCGGGGTTGTTATAAACTCTACCACTTCTTGAACAAGCAAATTCGATCTAATAAATCCCTAATTTAAGTATATCATATTGATTTCAGATCTTAGTCTGTATAATCGACCTACTCTACCCGCCGCGCCGCTCGGATAAGGTGTTCGTATCACAGAAGGAACTCGACAAACGCGCTCGAGGAGACCAGGATGCCAAGGAGAAGTCTGATGATGACCAGGTAACTATCACAATGGTGAAATAGTAATTATACAGTGTTGGTTAATAGACGAAGTTAAAGATCTAACTCAACCAAAATCTCTGAATCAAACCAAATAAAACTATAAGATACACCAATGGTCGAAGTTAAAAGCTGTTATAAGTACTTATATATAATTTCTTAACATATACAATAAGTGACAAAAATATGAAAAGAACCAATGGATCAAATTGTAATTATGTACAATACTATAATTGGGTAGTTTCCTCTGTGTAAAAGAAATATCTTTATCATCTTATAAAATTATAAAAGTACTTGATAAAAAAGGTGTATTCGTATTTTTTTAAGATAATTCATGGGAAATAAGATATAAGACTTCTCAACGTGCTTGCGTGTGCCATTTCAAACAATCACTATAAATTGGCGTAGTCATTGCCATCAGGTTACTTAACGTATCAGAAGTTTGATGCCCGCACGGTATAACTGTCTTCTACAAATTCTTCTTTTTGGGCGTTATCTGTATTTGAATTTGTGACGCATCCATAAAATACGACAAAAACCTAGTTTTTTAGAATAAAGTTGTATGACAAAACTACAATAATATGAACTTATGACGATCCTGCTATCTTCAGGAGCTGATCAACGATGACATAGTGGATGATGACGAGAACGCCAACAACAGTGATGCTGAAAAGAACTCGCAGAGCGATGTGAGTAAACTTTTTATGCTTTATTATCAAGTAAATGTGCCTATTTCGTAAATTAAGTTATCACACGTGCTACAGTCGAAAAAAGGGGTCCTAGGGATCCCAAAAAAATATTGGGTTGCTTTAGTTTGTGCTTACTTTATGTCAATAATAAATTCAATACTAGCTAGCGCGGTTACACTCGCTACTCTGCGCCATTTGATTCTAGCGTGATGTTTTCTAGCCTATAGCACTAGCGAACATTGTAGCTATGTATCAGTGAAAGAATTTTGGCAATCCGACCAGCGGTTCCAAAGATTACCCTCTACATTCAAACATACAAATTTTACCTCTTTATAATATTAGTATAGATGAGAGTTTTTACACCACCTCATAGTTTTTGACTAGAGCAACGGAGTAAAGCGGTGTGTTTCGCCGTGTGGGTAAGATTACTGAAAGCCCAATCTTCCCCTCCCCCAATCCAAATCCACAATTAAGTGTGGGAGATCCATGCTCCGGCACGAAGGGTTCGGCTCTACCGCATTGATACCATGGCCTTGGAGAAAACTGGCGTGAAACAACCACAGCGTTGTGTTTCGCCGTGTGAGTGAGGTTACCGAAGGCCCAATCCTTTCTCTTCCCAAATTCCTCCCCAATCCCTAATCCTTAAAAGGTACTCGCACTCGGAGCTCCACCGTTGCGGGTGTTCATGGACGGCGCTGATTGCTTACTATCAGTTAATGCGTCTGCTTGTTTGCCGACCTATAACATACAAAAATTACTTCTTACGATATTTTACATCTAATTAATATTTATAAATTTCAGTCATCGGACGAGGAGAAAGAGAAAGTTACAGAAGGCGGTGGCGACTCGAAGGCTGCAGACCCAGTGGACCGACCCGAGGTTCGCAAGCGAAGGCCAAGGAAAGCCGACTAGAGTGCGTAGTATACACACACAGCCCGCCGCGGGTTCAACGCTCAGCTCGAGACATTCCCAGCCAACTTCACAGCTTACAATACCCTTGTCATATGTTTTCATCAAAAAAGGGGGGATTTTATAGTCAAAAATGTTCTCAAAATATCTTGGGACAATATTAAATATAAAAAAAAAATGTGGTTTTGGGACATAAATCAAAGCCGATTTTAAGTTTTTCAAGACCTGAGAGGCGCATGTTATACGTACTTTAAGGTGAAAGGCCTATTAGAGTGGAATATTAGACCTTTTAGAGGTCAAATATGTATAAGTTGTTGAGGGCAATTGTTCTTAAAAAAAAATGAGGTCATAGTAAGAGCTTCGAAGTCAATGTGGAATGTTATAAGATATTTGAGCTGAATACAAAGGGAAATGATTGAATTTTTCGTCGTTGCCATTTTTGTTAATGATGTTGTGTTGCCAGTGACGTATAAAATATAGTTTCACAGATATAAATTACATTTCAATGGTATTTATGCTTCATCAACATTTTAAAATAATGTTTTACTTGAGTGTAATAATAAACTTACAAATCTACCAAATATCCTGGATTACGGTAACATTATTAACGAATATGGCAACACTGGTGTCTGAATCCGCGGCCGGCCTATAACAGTATCATATAAAAAGTTTAACATAGTTAGTTTTGTATGTAGCCGCTCCGTTCATACCAATATTATATCACTAAATATAATTGATATTTAACTGATTTTAAAAGATCTTGCCTGGTACCCCTTTATACTTGAAATTCATGACATAACAGGTTATGAACAGCCTATAAATATTTCACTACTGAGAAAAGCTCCTTCTCATACGGAGAAGGAAATGCTTTTGATCAAGTCAGATTGACAATATCAAACTTATAATTAGTAATAAAGACCAGGTTTCCTAACGATATTTCTGTCTCTTTTATTTCGTCAACCAGCTGTCTCCATTCTTGGCAATTTTGTAAAATTAGTTAAATATCAATAAAAAGTAACAGTTTATATCTGAAGTAATAAAAATTATTATCTTCTTCACCAATTAGTCTTCCCTTAGACTTTCATCTTGTACTTTGTTAACTCATCGAAAGCCTAAAATATGTTACTAATTAATGTAATGTTAACTTCTAAAATTATTGTTTCAATACTTTAAAACTTTGTTTAGAAGTTGTTCTATGTTATCAACGTAAAGTCTTTATAAAAAAAGCATTTATCAATGCACTATTTTTGTTTATCAACTTGAAAATTTTGTCCCTTGATCTGGAGTATTTGCTAAGATGTCCATGCTTGGCTCCTGGATTGGAGAGTAGTTTAAAACTTCTGTTTAAAACGCTTAAACTCAATCTTTTTCAAGTATAGTCACTTAGTTAAAGTATTGGGAATAAGAAGTTTTACATTTACTATATATTTCTGCACCTTACTCCTATAGGGGCTCAGAGAATATCCAAGTTGATATGCAAGAATATTGCCGCCATAAATAGTTGGCTAATTTAAACTCATCTTATTAATTAAAGCTTTTAACAATACTGTTATTCAACGATAGTTTTAAAACAAAAATGTTTTATTATAATCTACTCTTTGGTTGTCCTCAAAAATGTAGTCTTGCATCTGTTAAAACTGTGAACTCGGCTCAATGTGTTTTCTTGACATTCATTAGAGTTTGTAATCTCACAGTATCGTTGAAGTAACTATTTAGTTTTTATTGTAAATTAAATAAGCATTTTTACTCTTTTGTTTAGACATTTTCGTAAAGGCATCTAGCAAGATCTCACACAAGTATATGTCGGCAATACTAGTTCACTCCACTTCTCTTACAAGACACATAACATAACAAGGAATATTCGAATTCTGTCCCTGTTTTCTGGATCAGTATTATCACTGTTTCGTATCCGACGTAGTGCCGAACTACCGAAGCTCTAACTGTCTTCGTAGAGAATAAATCTTTAGTTTTGATATCTACACATACTAAATAACTGCAGGCTTCATAACTTTTTAAATTAAAAATTATGTCGTAATAGGGGCAGGGGCTTCGCACGGATTTCAACCTTGGTGTTTGTTCATTTATTTTGTTCTGTAGAGCGAATAACGACGGTATCACTATCTGATTTTTTTGCCCGATTTTCTCCTCAATATTTCTAATATTTTCTTTCGTGAGAACCTTTTCCTAATTATAATATATGCATTTAATAAAAGAATTGTTGGAGTCTGTCTATCCGTTTACGCGTGTTGCCATTCAAAGGTTAATTTACAATAAAACTAAGTATTACTTCATGGTAGCATTTATATGTATGTCACGAGTGTTTTAGTTAGCGCACCAAATTTAGTGTAATTATGTATTTAGTTGGTTAATGTTCATAAAAGTATTATGTATTACGTTTTAATATATTCTTTTTAGTTTTTTTTAATGTTTGCTTGTAAATTAATATTGATCGGCTTTCTAGAAGGGAGCGAGCATACGCATTTAGTTCAAAAATAATACTTGATAAGACTAATAGTGCAAATTATACTATTAAATAAATATTGGTTTACAAGCAAATGTTAATTTAACTTCTGTTTTATTTTTATTTTATTGATTTTTTGTATTTTTACAGAAAGATTAAAAAGAAAATTGGATGAAAATGATAATTAACGAAATCATGTGAAACGTTCTGTGCAAGATTTTTTTTTATATAACCTTTTCACGATCCCGTGTTGAAAGAAGCGACGGGGTTCTTAGCTTTTTTATACGAAATATATAATTAATATTATTTTATAGCTTTTTTTATATTCTTAGAGGCTAATTTATATAATTTTTTTTATAATTATTACCCTACAATTTTGCTATATTAATTTATTAATTTAATTTTATTGGGAAGCCCGTCGCTTTTTTTGTGCTGGTCATATTAACAACATTCCTTTTTTAACAAGTAACGAATTGTGCGCTCAATAGTTATACAAATCAAACTACGTACTTATTTGAGATTAGAAATAAAATATTAGGCCTCTAGTGTTACACTTTTAGCATTGTAGATGAGATTGAAATAAATATAGATGCAGAATGGCTTTTCACAGAAATAATTGCGTAATTGTGTAAGATTCTGTCTGGATAAAGCTATCAATTACCAAAATGTATTAGAAATCCTTTCCTAGTACCCACAGATAATTACAAGTCGACATTATTTCCCTATTTCTCAAATACAACGCTAAAAGTGTTCTACGAAACTTATTTATTAATATGTTGCAATACTCAAATTATATGTTTGCTTACTTAATATGTATATTTATATATGATTATACAATAATTTGGATACAAGATACATTAGGGTTAAAATTGTAAGTGTAACAAACGGATTGCTGTGGGGGATGGATTTGGTCGAGATGGGGGATGACTGACGATACTAATAACTTTAGAATGGATTATATCATAAAATGTGTAATGATATTTTTCTTGAATGATTTTTTTGGGGACTTCTTCAAGCTTGGCTTTCAGAACTCACTTTCAAAATGGAACAAATAACAACTAAAAAAGGAAATGTAGGTCGCTTCTAAAGGACCTATCAGTCATTAGAGGAAGCCTAGGTCAAAAGGACGATTGATATTACCAGTATATAGACACGGTACAGCATTTGCAACGCATATTTAACAATTGGCCATAACAATCCGTTCCTTAAGCCATATGTGTCTCCTCCGTACTGGGTTGCTGAGGTTTTAAAATGTTGTTTCAGTCAGTTGTCCCGTGTCCATGGAGTATAGATATTGTTAACATGAAAATTGCCTTGTACAAAGACTTAAGATTGTTTTAAGTGTTGCGTTTATATTAACTATTGATCTAGTGACTTGCTGAAATAAAATTGTATTTGTATTTTGGTGTTTTATTTTAAAATTTTCACAGATTTCACATTCCGAATCTCAAAAAACTATATTTTATGCAAATCTTGTTTCGTACTTGAAGAGTGACTCGTTAGTCGAGGGCTGCTCGCTAGGCTTCCATGAAAAGGGTTCGATTCCTCAAATCAAGGAAAGCATTATTAGAGTAATATTGTAATCTGTATTTTTTTCTGGCGCATGGTATTAGGTTCGGGGCCCTAAACTAGCCCAATAAGGTTTTACCTACATCTAGCCCTGAGATCATCACTGGTGCGAGTTCGACTAGGGCAGATAAACCTCCCTAGTCTCCCTAAACCTTTGCAACTCCTGCAAGCCAGGATCTACAGTAGATACAACCATGAAAACACCGGAACACTGAAATCCGGCGCGTCCCAGGGATATATATGACTGTCTTGGATCCCGCAACGAAATAAATCAGAAGATACTATTTGAGGTGGAGAAAAAATTAAATAGTTTCCACTTCCCTCGGTAGATTTAATGCAGGAGACAGAATGACTTAGGCCTTGAAAGTACAGAAGAGACTACAGCTGGGAGTAGCCCAGTCACTAAACACCACGGAAATTTTGTATTGTTATTGTAATGGGACCTATGTGTGAGATGCTACAGTTGTTTCCAGTAATAGGCTCGCCGGGGTTGCGGGTACAAATAGAACAATAATTTACTCTGAGCAGGAGAAGGGACAATGTGATTTTTAGTAAGTAAGAGTCGGACACTCCCTTTCTCCCCGCACAGGGCGGATGAAGTCGTTCGATGATCTTAAAAAAATATAAAGAGATTGCAACAGTTTTATTTCGTAACGAGGAGAAAAATCAATTTTTAGACTCGAGTATTTATGAGATTTTTAACCGGTCTAACAAAAATCTGGATCGTCCAAAATTATTGAAAATGCTTAGTAGGTCAGCCTTATAGCACAGTGCGAATAATTTTAAAAATTCTAGAAAATGGTTTTGAAATGAAACCCATTGGAAAAGATACTTACCCAAAAATATAAAAAATAAATCACGGGTGATTTGAGGAAAAGGATGGGAGTTATAGGTAACGATTTTGCTATGGAGTAAGATTGTTAAAGCGGTCTAGGGTAAGACTATTCCTAAACTGTAAGTACTGCACGGGTTGTAAGTTATAAATATTAAAATTCAAAAGCACCAAGACGCATTATTTAAAAATGTAAAAACAGTTTAGAACTATTTAT